CCATACCACCACAGCCAGCTAATTCAACACTTCACAAAGCATCACACGAATATTAAGAGCACTCAACACCACAGACGTATTCAATATGACTTTGTTTACACAGAGCCATAGTTTTTAAAAAAAACCCTTCACCCTTCAAATGATTTTGTCACAATATCTGTTTCAGAAGGCTTCCCATTTTTCATGAAGACACAATCCGTTATTTGTGTTACACTGTAAGTGTTACTCTGGGGTAGGGACTAAAGGTTCTTTCTCATACTTTAGAGCTAAATGCCCTTAGGGCTACTGAAATGGAGGGTGGGACAGGACCAAGACTGACATAGGCCCCAGGAACAACTTCCTGACTAGTGGAGGTATGAACATATCAAAGGAAAGAAGTGTGGAGAAGCGAGTCAAGCCTCTATGGAATGCATTCAGCTCTGCCCAAGGGAAACAGAGCAATGTGGACAGCAGAGTGACAGCTGCCTGGGGGACAAGAATGGCTCATCAGACCTCATCTTGTCCGGCTGAGGCTTCTAGACTGCCCGTCTTTTTCCACACTCACAAAGCAGCCTCCTTTCATCTCAGTAGAAAAGTGCACACGCCACCCAGGACCACAGAAAGGGGCCACTACCCGCTGTCTTACCAATGAAGAAACTAGTATTTTGGCTTGGACAGCGTGACACAGTCAGCACCGGTGGGGTTTGCAAGGATGATAATGAATTGGCAACTGTGACTTGGAGCAAGCCAAGCTACAGCTAAAGTTAGGAGCGATGAGCACAGAGGAGGTAGCTGAAGGTGTGAGGTGGGGGGTCACTCCTGAGAAACTGCAGAATGAGAGGAGGAAGAAAACATAAGACAGCCTTGAAGAGTGTCAGTGTTTAAGCAAAAAGCAAGGCAAAAAGCTCAAAAAATATAACAAAACGGAAAGGCCAAGAGTAGTAGAGAAAGTGTGCTAGAAATCAAGGCAGGAAAAAATCGGGGCTATGGATATAGCTCAGTGGTGCAGCTTGCCTAGCATGCACATGGCCTCATTTCTGTCCTCAGTAAAACCACAAAAATAAGCAAACAAACTAACACATACACAAGGTCGGAGAAAGTTTCAGGGAGTAAATAGAAATAGTTAAGAGGGTTAAGCGCCATAGAGATATCAAGAAGACATTTAACAACAGTTTCGGGGATTTAACTCAAGTTGCAGAGCCCTTGTCTAGCATGCGTGGGGCCCTGGAGCATTGCAGCTGGATGTGGTGGTGCACACCTGTAACACCAGGACTCAGGAGGCTAAGGCAGGACTGTGACAAGTTCAAGGACAGCCTGGGCTACTATTTTTTTTTTTTTTTTTT